AACGGTAGTTCGGACTAGGAAGCCTAGTCCGAACTATCTAGTTTGTGCCGCGTGTAGCCGCGCGGCACGGGGTTCGAACGAGCAGGGATTTAAAAATGGCAGCGCCCAGTTTATGCAAATGAAGCCCGGGAAATTCAAATCCCGGGCTTCATTTGCAAGTGCGGTATGCCTACATTACCCCGCTAGTTCAAACTAGCGGGGTAGTGTAGACATACCCCCCGGGACACATCCCCTCAGGAAGCCAGGGGCACAAAATGCCGGGCATCCTCCTGGTCAGGGCTCGAGATCAAAGCCCTCCTGGAGCTGTGGGCCGAGGAGGAGGCTCTTCAGCTACCACAGTCCAGGCACAGGAACATGGACATATATTCCAGAATGGCTGACGGCATGGCCAGGAAAGGCCACCACCCCCGCATGGCACCGCAGGTCAGGGCCAAGGTGAAGGACCTGAGGCAGGCCTGTGAGCACAGCTCCTGCTCCGGGTAAAGGGCACATTCCCGTGCCTACTAGGAGGACTTGGACAGGATCCTGGGGGCAGTTTGCCTCCTGAGCATCTTGTGGAGTCTGGTTTGGAGATCCCTGTGTAGCAGCGGCTGCAACTCCAGCCAGATGACCCAGAGCTCCAAGAGGATGAGGAGGAGGAGGAGGAGGAGGAGGAGGAGGACGGCACCCAGAGCACCCAGGAGCCAGATGCCCAGACTTAGGAGTCCTCCCAGGCAACTTCGGATGCCAGGGAGGGAACATCAGGTGAGTGCTGTGAGGGTCCAACACACACAGGGCAGGGCAGGTGGGAGCAGAGTAAATGGTGCAGTGCTGTGACATGTCATGCTGATCACAGCCTGGGGGGAAGGTGGGCACACCTATGGCTGCCCTCAGGGAGGGCCATCCTACCCTTGCACCCGCACAGCTGCTGGGCACCACCTGCTCCTGGCAGGCAGTGATGCCAGGTGCAGGCATGGATTGGAGATGCTGGGATTGCCTCACAGCTAGAGGTCTTTCAGCACTCTGCGGGAACTCCAACCTTTGCCTGACACTTGTCTGTGCTGCTCGGCCATGCGGTGTGTGTGAGGGGGGGCAGGATGGTGGCCTGCACACCTTCTGGGCTCCAGGGAGGCCGTGGCTGCTGGCCAGGCCACACCATGCCTTGCTGAGACCCACATGAGCATCCCCTGACCCTAGAACAAGCACTGCCTGCTGAGAAGAAGGAGGGCATGCCCGCTCAGGGATAGTGTGAGCATGCATGACTGGTGACTTTTCCCTCTTGTCCACCACAGCCAGATCAGCTGACCAAGAAGTGGGCGTCATACCTGCCCCACCACCCAGATGGCCGCAGGGAACCCGTTGGCACTGGCACACCTATTTAGACCTGGTGCACCAGCACATCTCAGTCCTGCAACAGATGCAGGATTCAATGGACAGGAGGATGGAGGCAGAGGCCGAGTGGCATAGCGCTTGCTGCAGGAATTTGCCCAGCAGAGCACTGATATTTGCGCTGCGATTCGGGAGGCCATGGCCTTCCCTGGTCCTGTGCCTGGTCCTGCTCCTCCTGCTCAGCCTGCCCCCCCCTCAGTCCCTGCCCCCCCTCAACCTCTGCCCCCTCCAGCCCCTGCTCCC